AGTCTTCCAGACGGAATAGGGCAATGTCCTGCCTGGCTCTGGAAAGCACAGATTCTGTGACAATTCCCTTGTCACCATGGGAAAATTCCAGCTTTGGTTCTTCCTTCATCTTAGGTTTTTGCTTGTAGTCCCCAGATCATAGAATCATAGAATGGTTTGGTTTGGAAGGACCTTAAAGATCATCTAGTCCCAACCCCCTGCATGGGCAGGGACACCTCCCACCAGCCCAGGTTGCTCCAAGCCCCATCCAACCTGCCCTTCAACACTGCCAGGGATGGGGCAGCCACAGCTTCCCTGGGCAACCTGGGCCAGTGTCTCGCAGCAAAGAATTTCCTCCTAATGTCTAACCTAAGCTACCACCTTCCAGTTTTAATCCACTCCCCCTTGTCCTCTCACTCCCTGTCCTTGTCCCAGGTACCTCCCCAGCTTTTCTGGAGCCCCTTCAGGCTCTGGAAGGTGCTCTAAGGTCTCCCTGGAGCCTTCTCTTCTCCAGGCTGAACACCCCAACTCTCCCAGCCTGTCTTCATAGGAGAGGTGCTCAAGCCTTCAAATTACCTTTGTCACCCTTCTCTGGGCTTTATCCATGAGCTCTATCTCCTTCCCATGTTGGGGGCTCCAGAACTGGACACAGTTCTCCAGGTGGGGTCTTACAAGAGCCAAATAGAGTGGCAGAATCCCCTCCCTGGCCCTGCTGGCCACACTGCTGGTGATGCAGCCCAGGACAGGGTTGGTTTCTGGGCTGCAAGTGCACATCACTGACCCATGCTGAGCTTCTCATCCACCATCACCCCCAAGTCCTTCTCCTTTCAGACTGTTCTCAATCCATTCTCCCCCCAACCTGTATCTGTGCCTGGGATTGCCCCGACCCAGGTGCAGGACCTTGCACTTGGCCTGGTAGAACTTCATGCAGTTTGTACACTCCCACCTCTCAAAATCCCCTGGCATTTCTGTGTGACAATTAGAGCAAAGCTTAAGAGTCATGTGGAATTCCTCTGTCTGTGGACACTTTGAAGCCCAGTTAGGCAACAGCCACTGTGTGCCTTTTATTACAGTTTGACTTGCACCATATCTCTTAGCTGGAATAGGACTGATTGCCTGGGGGGATTTAGCTCAGATTTAGCTCTCAGCAGTCCTGGCAGTGGTCATTATTTTTTCCTTCTCTGTGTTTTTCTTCAAGGCCAGAGTTAGTTGTTTGTCTCTGCTGGATGTTTGACTCTTTCTGACACTCAGAATTCACTGAAAGTCATTCAAATTATGGATGAAAATCAGCTTCTCTTACTTTCCCTTTATTTTTGGTTTTATTGTATTGCATTCAGTTCTTGGCAGATGGAATCTGATTGCCCATGGAGTCTGCAATCAGGGCAGGAGTTTGTTACCTTCTTCCCCACTGTGGTGTGCAGGGGAGTCCTGTGTGGTTTGTGTCTGCACAGTGCACAAGGAAAACCATGCTTGGGATTGCAAGGTCTTGATTAAAGGCCTGGTTATAGGAGCAAGAACTGCCTCCTAAATAAAACATGGTCAATATGCCATGGGCATTAACATCTGCATGTCTGCATTTTAGAGCTGACATTTGGTGTTGTTAATTATCGTGCTGTTATCCATTCCTTGTGTCTGTAAGCACTGCATGAGTCATGGAGCATCTGCTTCCCTGTGCAGAGCAGCCCTGTGTCAATTGGCAGGAGCTTCCCTGCCACAGGAAGGGCTCCATAGGTGGGAAAGGACTGAAAAAAAAAAATGACCCCCAAAAAATGAACTTGCAGGGCTTGTTACATGCTCAAAAGGCAAGCAGACATGAGGAGGGGTGCACAGCTCCCCGTGGGGTGCCTGGCAGGTAGCTGGATGGGTTCATGCCTCTGGGTGCAGTGTGCTTTGATTATTCTTCCTACACCACACAAGAGGCATTTTGTAATTTTCATCAACGTGTAAGACTTTAAATCATTTGAATGACTCACTTTTCCAAATTATTCTTGTGCTCTGGCAGAGATAAAAATTCAATAGCAACTTAGTTCAGCGGTTGAGGGATCTTTTTCATTATCAAATGTACCGTGGTTACAGAAAGAAATGATGCTGGTACATCCAATGGAGATGAGGAGCCCAGAAAGACAGAAGGTGGCATGTGTGATGCCAGGGGATTGTGTTACAAAACTACAGGAAATGAGCAGTATTTTTGGAAAGTGATAGATGATACCAGTGTTGTGCAGGCACGAGGTGAGACAAAGCATGGTGAGGGTCAGGGAGGATGAGCAGCTCTTACTTCATCTCTGTCCCCAACAGTAGAGTCTTAAAAAGTTCTTGGTTTTTTTCACTGCTGAAGAATGTGAAGCTGAATCCTTGGGAGGAGGCAGGTTTTTTCATTCCAGAATTTGTGTTTTTAAGCATTTCCAACTGCCGTGGTTTGTCTTTCCCACCACCTTCCTTTTTTCCTTCTCTGCAGCTGCTCCACACACAGGTTTTGATTTTGCAAATAGGATTGCCCAGCTGGAAAGGCATGAGCAGTGCTGACTGGGGTTAGTGCACACTGCAGCCTGGGGCCTCTCTTTTAGGATTTCATGTGCACCAGTTGTCTTTGGTTGAAACCTTCAAAGGGTTTATCCTGCAGGCATTCTGAGATGTGGCACCAAGTCCTTGCTGCAGCTCCTTCCTCAGGAAATGCAGCACGTGGAGACTAAACACTGTGGCTTTAGGGATGCTCTGCACCTGAGAGTGAAAGAGTTTGAGTCTTGGTAAGAGGGAAGGCAAACCTGACCCTGTGGGGAGGAGGAATGTCCTGCCCTTTCCAGCCTTTCTGAGGGGCTCGAGCAGCATGAGCAGTGATGGAGCAGGACAGCCTGTGACCTGCTGAAATGATGGCACCCACAGCACGAGCTGCAGGGTCCCACCCCTGGGGCAAGGGCAGGAAGGAGTCCCCAGCAGCACAGGCTACAGGTTGGAGAGACAAAACCAGGTGAACTGTAAGGTAAGGGAATTTCACCCTTGAGTGGGGTAAGATGGCAAGTGTTGAAGTGGGGGTGAAACTCCCACCTCTCTCTGTAGATGACAAATTGTCATTGTTATTCTCCAAATGAACTTTCTGTGAGCTCCAGAGAGCAGGTTCCTTGGTTAAAACACTGTATATAGGCAAGTCTGAAGCATTAACACTTCAATCAGCAACTTGCTGGGCAGTTTGCCCTGCCCTGCCAGCTAAGGGTTGCCAGGAACAGCAACGGTGCTGGAAAATGCTGGGGCAGAAAGCTTGTGTTTTGTAGTAGAAGTGAGCAGCTGTATGTCCTCCACACATGTCATTTTGTTTTATTTTATTTTTTATTTAATTTTTTAATTTTTAAAATTCTTTTCTTCTCCTTTTTTCTGCTTCCCCCTCTCCCTCCTTCACCCTCTTCCTCCTTCCCTTTTTTACTCAAATCAGCCTCTCCCTGAGTTGCAGAACTCAGTGTGAGTTTGGGATTTCCAACTGAAGCTTTATTGGGGTTTTTGGCAACCCAGCAGCCAGTTCATGACTGAAAATTTCCAGTCCTGAGCCCTGTCACCAGGTGGGGTCACTAGGATGCAGTAGCAGATGATGGATCTGACACCAGGTGCTGTTCACTTTTCATCTGTAAAATGGAGATGGATATTATTGCACTTACTCATTAGCTTGGGGTTTTTTGTTTGTTTTTAAAGCATGCACAGAGAGACTGATGCAGCTGACATCTGGTTTCACTGCAACCTTCCTAGGCCTCCTTTTCTTCCATTAAAAAACACCCTCACAAAACAAAAACCCTTATCATGACTCAGTCCAACATTAAAAGAATTCATTAAATAGGTATTAAAACTTCTATTATCCGCCTTGCAGTTCAAACACTATTTTTGTAACATTAAAACCACTACCTAGAAGAAAATATCTATCATCTGGTTTTTAATTTGTGAAGAAAGAAGGGCTTTGGCATTGTAATTAAGACAATTCTTTTTCTTGTTAATGAATCTGAGTCCAGTTAGAAAGAAGAGGGCAGGAAGCAGGGACCACTGAGGCCAGGGTGTGAGGAGCTGGTAGTGGGAGGGAAGAAAATAATTAAAACTCATTTTGAACTGTAATTTCAGAAGGCAAGAAGAATGGAGATGTTGGACTTATTTTTACACAGACAAAGCAAGATAATCAGTGGATCTGGAATTTGGATGGGAAAAAGCAAATTAGAAGCAAGCTCTGAGTCGGTGGAGGAAGTTGACCCTGTGGAACAGCTTGTCTGAAGTCTTCCCTCCTGGTTTCCCTCTGGTTTTCACAGAATCACAGAACATTAGGGGTTGGAAGGGACCTCTGAAGCTCATCCAGTCCACCCCCCCTGCCAGAGCAGGACCAAAACCAGGGCAGGTCACTCAGAAAGGCATCCAGACAGGGCTGGAAAGGCTCCAGAGAAGGAGCCCCCCCCCCCTCTCTGGGCAGCCTGTCCCAGGGCTCTGTCACCCTCACACCAAAGAAGTTCTTCCTCATGTTGAGCTGGAACTTCCTGGGCTCCAGTTTGAATCCATTGCCCCTGGTCCTGTCCCAGGGCACAAGTGACAAGAGCTTGTCCTGCCTTCTTGCTGCCCTCATGTATTGATAGACATTAATTAGATCCCCCCTCAGTCTTCTCTCCAGACTGAACAGCCCCAGGTCTCTCAGCCTTTCCTCCTCAGGCAGGTGTTCCATGCCCTTCATCATCCTTGTAGCTCTTTATCTCCAGCTTAAGAAGAAGAAAACAAGGGAGACTTAATGCACACATCAGGTCAGTCAGGCTCCAAAGTTGGGTTGTTTTATGCACTGCAAGTAAAGCTGTGTTGTAAATCATTGCACTGCACCCCTGTGGCTCCTCAGCATCTGTTCTCTGTTGAAACTCTTGCTCTACATCTACTGGTGCAGCTGGCACAGCCCTGGAGCTTTGGACTTTGGAGAAGTGTGTTATCTGAGGATCTGACCCTTTATTGTTGGTTTGTTCCTCTTGCTTTCAGCTCTCAATTTCAAAAAATGCAACTGTCTCTTGAGATGACTCTTGACTGTCTCTTGCAGGCCATGTCAGCAGTAAATCTTGCTTTTGATATTGCTGGATATGCCACCACACAAGGTGTGTTGGGATCTGTGGGTCTCGCTGCCCTCAGGAGAAAGTGGGAATCTGGCACCAACCAGGCACAGGAACACACACAGGGAGAGGGCACAGGAATGATAATTTTAAAAACCTAACAACCCCAAGGACAAAAAAAAACCCTACCTTTAAAAAATTAATGAAACCATAAAGAGTCTACAGGCTTTAATTACATTGTGTGCTGACTGTCTGATGGAGTAGAATTCAAATTACTGGATGTGGGGATGAATCAGCAGTAGTATTTCTTGATATTTTAACAAGTTTAGGCTCTGTATAAATCTAAACATAACCATGTGTTTCTGTGAGCCTTGGAAGGCTCAGCTGGTGTCATTAGGAAATTTGGGGTGTTTGAAAATAGTTGCAAGGATTTTGCCAAACCTGCCTAGGAATAAATGATGGTGTTTGTCAGGACCCATCACTGGAGTCTTCTCCTTGAGGGTGACAAAGCTCTCAGCAGTCATTGTGTTGGCCTTGGAAAAGCAAACCCTTGGATTTAATGCATTTGTTTGAATGAACAAACCATGAATTATTTTAATCACAGATGATCATCTCCCTTCCTCACAGCAGCCCAAGTGCCACAGGCTCCATTTTTTTAGAGTAATCCAGAGTTTTGCTCACAACTAGGCAAATGTTTTATTGGGTAGGGTTGGGTTTTTTAAGGCACTCATTACAGAAAAATAGCTGCTTCTCCTGTACCAGGTGTATTTCTTACCTGCTGGCCTTAAAGCTAGTGTGCAGGCCCTGGGAGTCAGACCAGGCTCTGCTGTCACCTCACCCAGCTCTCCAGGCAGGACCTGCCCGAGGTTGCCCACGCACGAGTGTCCCCAGGATCTTTTTTGGGGCACAGAACATCAACACAGTTGCTGTGGATCAGCTTTTTCTCCTAGCCAGCAATTTTTTTTCCTGTTTCTGCCTGTTCCCAGTGTCTGTGTGGAGTGCTGGGGTGTGGGGCACTCAGCTGGTGGGTAACTGGAGCAGAAGGTGGTGTGAAGGGAGCTCTGTAGGTGCTGCCCAGCCTGGGGAAGGAAGGCAGCTCCCACCAAGCAGATGATAGAATTTTTTCCATCTGCTCCTGTCTATATTTGAACCCACAGGAAAGCATCCTTCTTGCAAGACACGTGAAGCTCTGGTTTCAAAAGCCATCCCTGTTTCGGAAGTTCCTTGGCAGGCTGGGGCTGGTTTCCCTGCCTGTGCTGGGAGATGCTCCAGGGGGGCTCACCAGGCAGCCCCAAAATAGCAGGGCCGTGTCACTTAGCAACTTGTCACTGTTGCAGGAGCCTTTGTTGGAGTGGATCAAGGCGACACTGCTGCTATTTCCAGACCCACGCTTCCTGGTGGCTGTTGCTGCTTTCTTCCCCCACTTTAATTATTTACATTTTTTTCCTTTTGCTGAATCATAGACCTGAAAAATACGTCTTAGGTCACTGGGATCCAAGATTGTGCCTCCTGATTTCTTTTGTTGCCTATTTTCCACTATTTGTCACTTGGAACACACCAACTTTTAAACAGACTCTGAGAGGCCACCTCTCCTTCCTCACTGAAGCTTTTCTGTTGTGTGAGGAGTTTCTTCCCTGCTCTATACCTTAAAATTAATGAAGTAGCTCAGAACTGAGCCCTGTCCTTGCTGGGGTTGTTTGTAGGGCTGGGTGCAGACACAGTGTGATGGCAAAAGCCAAGGATCTCCAGGTGCTGCCTCATGGCACAGCTCAGAGCCTGGGCCATGCCCCACAGCCCCTGCCAACAGTAAATCCAGATGTCACAGTCTCCTCTCCCATGTAATTCCTCCCTCCATTTTTGCCATCTCTTAGCACTCATGAGCTGCCTTTCTGTATTTAGGTAGCTTGGGGCAGTTGTGGAATGCGTTTATAGCAGCCATCCAGTACCTGAAGGGGCTCCAGGAAAGCTGGGGAGGGGCTTTTTACCAGCGTGTGTAGTGATGGGACAAGGGGTAATGGTTTTAAACCGGAAGAGAGAAGATTTAGGTTGGATGTTAGGAAGAAATTCTTTGCTGTGAGGGTGGTGAGAGCCTGGCTCAGGTTGCCCAGGGAGGTTGTGGCTGCCCCATCCCTGGAAGTGTTCACAGCCAGGTTGGATGGGGCTTGTGCAAGCTCCAGAGCATGTCCCCCACCCAAGGGCACTGCATCCCAGCTCCAGGCAGCATCCAGAGCTCCTGCTGCCCCATCCACCACCCACACAGGTCAGCACAGTCTGTGTGGGTGTCTGTGTCTAGGGGGGTTTCATCCACCTCCTGCTACGTGACTCATCCTGTCCCAGCTGCGTTTTTCTCTCCTCCTGTGGGAAGAGGGGGGAGGATGCACGTGAGCCTCTATTTCTGCTATGAAAATTACAGCCTTATGTTGGTGGCAGAAGAAGGAGCGTGGAGGGAAGGAGCTTAGAGCCAAGGAGGAGGAGCCCATCAGCCCCACTGAGGGGGCAGAAATTCAGTGCCCAAAAAGCCATGAGCTGACACCGTGCAGCCCAACCTGAAGCCTTTTCCTCTCTCCCTTTGCACATTGGTGAGTTTTGTGGAAACCCACTGCCAAATCAGAGAAGGACTTGCCTGAATTTGGCCTTTTTGGATGGAAAAGAGCAAGTTCATCCAGGTGCCTTCTCCACGTGAGTGTGAGAGGTTTCCTGGAGGTGACCCCATCCCAGCCTGAGCCCTGGGCAGGTCTGTCCTGGTCCTGCTGAGGCTTTTTGCTTTTCCTTTCAAACCAGGGGCAAAGCCAACATGGCTCTGTGATGGGCACCTCTGCTGTCTGCTGGTTCAGGACTTAATGAACAGATTTATTTTAAATCATCTCTGGAGTTTTAGAGGGTCCTTGGTCAGAGGTGCAGGCAGGGCTGCTTGCTGTGTCTTTGGAAACACTTTCTGGTGAGCAACATCTTGGTGTATATATGAAGGAGTTTGGTATATGTGTGCATGCATGTCTGTGTACATATATATGTTCTGGAGCCCCCAACATAAGAAGGACATGGAGCTCCTGGAGAGAGTCCAGAGGAGGCCACAGAGATTATCCAAGGGCTGGAGCAGCTCTGCTCTGGAGCCAGGCTGGGAGAGTTGGGGTGTTCAGCCTGGAGAAGAGAAGGCTCCAGGGAGACCTTAGAGCAGCTCCCAGTGCCTGAAGGGGCTCCAGGAAAGCTGGGGAGGGACTTGGGACAAGGGCAGGGAGGGATGGGACAAGAGGTAATGGATTAAAACTGGCAGAGGGGAGATTGAGGTTGGACATGAGGAGGAAATTCTTTGCTGTGAGGGTGGTGAGACACTGGCACATTCTATATGTTTTACTCCTATATAACTGGAAGCAGCTGCTCACACAGCAGTGGGTCCGAGGGTTCGTACCAATGCAGGAGATGCATAAGGTCACTACAGTAGGATCAGATCTGTGGTATTGAGCCAAACCATCAAATTCATCACAGATCAGAACTTGAGACGTATTAGAAGATTGTATTTTTCTAACCAGTTGGAGCTTGGTTTTGTCTCTTCCTGCTCTTTCAAGGCCAGTCACTGCTTTTCGGCACCACTTTAAAAACTTGTACATCTGCCAGTCTAGTAACTGTGTTATGATGGAAGCCAAGGATCCTTCCCAACCTGATGAGTGGAGGCTGGGGGTGTGGAGATGCCAAGGGGGGATAGGACCAGCTAGAACAGGCTGAGTTGGCAGCAGCATCCTCTCAGGGGGCCAGAGCTGTATTAGAGGTGTCATCATGTCACTTCTTTCTTGAGAAGTGGGTTGGAAAGTGACCCATGGCCAGGTTTGTCAATGGGGAATTTTCTTCCAGACCCTGCTCTCAGCAGCAGCTGAACTGTTTTAGTTGAGGCTTCAGTTTAGGGTAAATACTCAGCACAGAAGATTTTAAGTCTGAGCAGTTTCAAGTTTGGGAAAGCTTCACAGAACTGAAGATGCAGCTTGGAATGGGAAGTATCAGGACTCAGCCCTCGCTGCTCAAAGGACACGGGCTGCTGGGTTGTGCTGCTCTTCTTCCCCTCTAATGAGCAATCAGGAGAATAAGTAACTAAACTTCAGTTTGCAGAGTGTGCTGCACATCTGATTTAATCTGTAGTTATTCTCCCAGTGCTATTTGCTTGGGTAGTCAGAGCCTCCACACTCAGGACCCTGGTGTCTTGCAGCCTCAGGCAACACTTGAGGAGCACAAAGCCTCCCTGAAATTTGGGAATTCATTTAATACTTGTTAAACCTGCACTTCAGTTACTTACGGATCTTAGTTAAGAAACTAGAGGCAAGGATTGATCCCAGGACTCTTGCAGACCCAGACATCTCCCTTTTCACCCTGACAGGTCTTGCACAGCTTTCCAGACCAAACCCGGAGAGGGGCAAAGGCTGATTCAAACCAGCTTTATTCCCTCCCCTTCCCAGAGTGGGATGATTTCCTTGGGGATGGTGTAGGAAAGAGCAATGCCCACAAAAACTGGGAAGATAATGTGCCCTGTGTCAGGATGAATGCCCAAACCTCCCCTTTCCTGAGTCAGACCCTAGAAGCTCCTCTGCTTCTCCATCTTCTCACCTTCCTGCAGAGCCACCCTCTCCTTGCACAGCTCTGCTTCTGCCACAATGTGGATTTTCTCCCTTATTTTTGGCTTTCTCTCAGTGGATGCAGAAAAGCAGCTGGGCCCCATCAGCTCAGAGGAAGCTCTGACCTGGGAAAGGCTCCAGGTCTCTTACATTTGCTGTGATAGCTCATTCCTTTCCTCTCTCTCCTTCAGGAAAACCAATTAAAAAAAACCCAACAAAACAAAACCAACAAAAACCACACAAAAAACCCCACACAACCCACACAGAAAAACACCCCAAAAACAACAACAAAAAGCCCCCACCAAAACCCCACAAACAAAAAAAAGCCCAAACCCAAAACAGTGCAGGAGAAGCGAGTGGTGCTGGGAATTGTTTGTGCTTCAGTCTTGATTTCTCCCTGACCCATCCCTGAGAAAGGTGGCACCGAGTTGTTTTGCCCAGAAAAAA